ATAGACGTAAAATGAATTATTAATTTTGCTGAATAATTTGTTTTCAATATTGGTTCTGTTATATATGGTAGCTGTATTAGTAGTAGTAATAATAATAATGTTAATGCAATATTTCATAATAACACAAGCAGCGCGTAATATCGCTTTTTTAATAAATTTTGAAGGTATTTTAATCTGATTCCACAGCGACGAGTTAAATTAATCAAAAAAGGTTTACACGTAGTACACTAGTAAAACCACTCACACTCACAGTCAAGCATATCATATATATATATATTTATTAGTTTTAGGGAAAGGATGAGTGAGAAAGAGAGAGAGTTTAGGTGTGAAGTAATGKGAAAATTTAATTATTAATGGCACACACATAAATATATAACAATAATTGGGCAGGTAATATTTAATTTTTAAATCGGTGCACGAAGAATTTTGTTCTGTTTTTAAATAAAATAATCTGGATCAAAATTTAAACTGTTTGACCTTTTTTATTTTTTCGAATTTTCACTACACATCGATTGTGTTGCGTTGAACATCATCAGTATCTACAATACCAACACCTACCTATACCTGCAGTGTTTTCTTGGTACCCCATTTGTATTGTTTACCAGTGTGTTCGACGGCATGTATATACTGTATATCTGACAATAAACCGTCACGGCCTCGTGCCACAATAAGCACATACATGATGTATACACGGAAAAGTAAAACAGAAAAAAAATATAAAAAGAAATTGTGTTGTTCGTGATCGTTACGGTGTCAGACTGTATTCGGGGGTAAATTATCCAATATCCGGCTGAAGGTGGTGGAGGTAAGGTTTCCGACACAATGAGGCTTGCCTTGTGGAAAAAAAAGCAAATAAAATTGAGGCCGTACCACCTTTCGTAAAGGATTAATTCGAATCCCAAAGTTGAAAGTTATATTAAAACTACAACGATGACGATTACCGTACATTAGTGAACATTTTATTATAATATTTCAAACGCGTATTAACTATTAATGAGTGAGGACATATTATTATCATGAACAAAAACGATTATTTACTATAACTGAGTACCGTCTAATGTAATTGTTAAAAATGTTAAACGTATAATTATTATTAGGTAATCAAACGACGAACGRTATGAATATTTTATTCAGGAGATTATAACCCCTTTAAACCATATTTAAATAAAAATATTTTTAATAACATTGAAAGCGTTCATGATCGATCAATCGTACGTCATAACAAAAACTATACTATTACACTTAAGTAAAGTGAATAGTAATTAGAAAAAATATTATCCAAACACCTTTGCGTTGATATTTTACCTATTACTATCTACTCATAATATAAAATAATGTATTGAACACATAAATAATTTGATACTTTAAAAACTTCAAATTAATTAATCAGATTAATCACGTGTGACATAATTAGAAATGCACATAATATTATAATTAATAATWATTATTAACTTGAATTACCTATTTTATACTTGCGTCGTATGCTCGACCMSGAATWAAARAAAAAGAAAAGAATGTCGATAGTATAATTTAAATTTTATTATAGAAACGTTTGAAACTTTTTAACTATTTTATTTTTTATTTTTTAATAATTTTACTCGGAAGTTACGGATGTCGTAAGTGCTCGTAACGAGTARGAGGTTCGAATTAAATTTTGAAATATATATATACATATTATAATAAATGGTAACGTTTTAACGGTCTAGTTGAATATCTATATACCTAGTGATACACATAAAACGACTTGGGGAACGGGACAMTATTATTATACACCTTCGAGGTGCACATTTCACGCACAGTAAACGCGGCCGGTAAGTTTCGTATTAACCTCAAATATAACGCGCGAGCCCGTACAAACTTTGCCAATTTCCCAAGTTCACATATACAGCACGCACAATTTTATTGGCTGTTCCTATTACGCCGATGGTTGCACTCGCGTCTTAAACTTACAGACACTTTCATAACAACGGTAACAATACTTTATTTTATTATTATTATTATTAATATAATTTTTTTTCAAACACAAAGAACACAATAGCCGCCGGTGGAGTAAAAATGAAATGGTGCTGAAAATAGCAAACTGCATTCACGCCACCAATGACCAAGAATTTCGAAACACACTTCAAACATTAACAATGATGAGCGCAGGATCTCAGCGACTGAAGTCGGAAATTTTTCAGTAGCTCCTTTTGGATTTTCATATTGTTTTACCTACTTTTGAARTTTCGCGTAATTCCGCGCTTTGCCCAATATCAATTAAAAGTAATTTTGTTTGTTTAGAGTCTTTAAACGTGTAATGAGTAAAAGGTAGTTTTCGATATCGAGCAGTATTATGATGTTTATAAGCGTAAACAAAATTTGTTCCCAATATAAAAAAAGGCATAAAACTAATATTAAAATGGAAGGATTTAAAATACCTGTGTTCGTCGTTAAATATTTACCGATGACCAAAAGTCGTTTAAAGTTTTAAACAAACTTGTTGAACAACTTTATACACCGCTGGTTTTTGTATAGCATTACTATTCTCAATTAACACCGTACGCTTTTAAAAAGGTGTGTAATATTCGAGACAAAAGTATGTAATAATATTAGAGTAATAATCTTAATTTATAATTAGTATGTGACATTAAAAAGTTATTGTTTACGAAGAAAAATATCTTAGTTTTTTCTAAAAACACAAAAATAACCGTGACTGAAACTWGTTACCATAAATGATTTAAATAAAATATTTATTTAAAACTGTTGTTTTTTCATTATCTCGTTTAAGGCGAATGATCTCTTTTATATGGAATTAATATGCGATTTCAATTTGGGATTTTGTTCAATCATCCAAAATTCATAATATCGATTCGGACTTTTCGCATGATTTCTTCTGAAAACTCATAGATGTATCAAACTTTTTGTACTCCAAGAATATTTTAAAATTGAAAAGCCAGACAATGAACATTGAAACAATAAAATCACACATTTACTTGTAGACTCAAAAGAAAGCTAAGCTACTGTAGTGATTAAAAATAAACATAATATTTATTATTATTATTTGTATAATATGTTCGTTTATAAATGAAGGAGAGAAACATTTTGGGTTCTATCGTTAGATGATTACCCTCGTATAACAATATCATTGTTCGTTTTTTGTAAGGTATTTAATACCTATTTATTTTATTTGCTGATTGTGTCAGATTGTAGATTATGTTTKTCAATAAATAAAGGAATAACTACTTTATAATATTAATATTTATCACCGTCACGTGTGGGCGTTATATTATATTCGGGTGAGTAAAACCAAGTACACTATCCAATATTGATGGACGTGTGTGTGTAACAAATCAGCAAAAAAAAAAATCCGAAGAAAGATGTCATAATAAATTAGTCATGAATAGGGTTTACATCATACGGCAATATATATTAACCGTTTTTCTTATATTGTTATTGATTTATACCAGATGCCATTCTGCTTGGAAATCGGATGTGTATATACATATTCTATGGGTTGTTGGTGGCCATCTGAATTAACTTCTACGCACATCGAAAGATCGGGATATCCCGCCGCCGTCATTGCGGGATTATGTTCGACAAACAAGACACGGACAACGCCTCCCCTCTTCCTCAACCGAGTTATCAAACCATTATTACATCGAAAACCCCATTATTGTTTTTGATAGTTGGCTGAATTAAGGGTTGTGTACTCTGCTCTGTCATCGATGTCCATGGTGCGCRGGCAGAGATGTGCTTATAATTATTATTTTGCATAATAGCGATATAGAACAACATTGCTCTGTTTTTGACGGCTGTGGTATTCTGCAGTGACTTTATTTTTAATATTTATACACACACACACACACACACATATATTATATACATGGAAGTGTTTTATGTATATAAAATATAATATAATATACTATTTTTTGCTTGTTTATTTATTTTTCAATAATAAAAGAGTTTCGTCGAATGGACCAAACGGTGTATTATTATTATGTGCCTACTCCAATCCTTCTCTATACAGTCGATCCGCGGTGGCACCCACCTCACACATCTCTGCTGTCAACAATATTTCCTTCCCTCTATCACGATCCTATTTAACCTCCGGGGGGCGTCTGGGTATTGTTCGAAGTCTAAATTAAAATGCTAATTGCTTTTGACGGCCAGTGCCAATGTCGGGTATATCTCCTCTAGTAGATTTAATTCAATCACCGCCCGGGCAMGTCGGAGCAGTAGCGGGAGGGTACCACGATCAGGGTCGTTTGGCGGCCMGAAAGTTAAGAAATTAATAAACCGCAAGAACCCGGGTTCAGAATTGGATTATTGACTTCCGTCCGAGCTTAACGGTAATGGATTACGCATTAAGAGCTATTTTACAAATTAAATTCKATGCGAAAACGGCACTAAACCAAAGTCCTACACGCGTCYAGTGCGTTACACCCCGACCGAGGTTTAGTCGATTTTAATTTACGTATACACGTGCACGCATGCACCTATATTATTTCTARCACTGTTGATTTTACTCTGTACGCCACCGCCATAACATCGGTTTGTTGTTGTTGTTTTTTTTTTAATCCGGATTTTCGCATTCAGAAAACTTCTTTTGTCCAAACTATACAGGGATATTTATTACTCTTTGTCTCTGGGCATGGATATTATACGCACATATATACATTATACACTCGCGCAMACTCACGCACACACACATGGGCACGCGTGAGCGTACACACATGCAAGAGAAATAATTCCGTCTTTTCTTTCGTTCCCTATTGTTATTGTAAACATATTGCTCCCTCCTGTCATCCTCGACGTAAAAAAGAACAAAGCTTAAAGTCTCCACCTAACGCTCGCGTATACCTGTTTTGCGTRAAATACGGTTCAGATATCTTTCGTCCAACACCCCAGTATTTTATTATTATTTTTAAGCGATAACAAAAAAATAACTATTATAATAATAATAAAAAAAAAACATAATAATRATAAAAAAATAAAAGAACAGTTCACTTTTGTTACATTACCTCAGATTTTCCTTTAGACGTGCAGCTCATAATGTTTGATGGCTCCAGATTTATGGAATCCTGCTGAAACAAAACAAAAATTATCACTTTAATAAAGTGTAATCCATGTCAAAGGCAATAAAAGACAAATAATGTTGTATATTACGTATMGTGTGTTATAGCCTATAGGTACCTATACTATACGCAATAAAACACGTAGATATTAGGTGCAATTCGTTGCAATACGTTTGTTTTTTATTTATTCGTGAAATAGTTTTGTAACAGTAATTTTGCCGTTTCACGTTTGTTATTAAACCTTTAGTTCCAACAATAAAATTCTACTCCAAAATTGTTTTTAAGCACTTAAAATTATTACTGAATTTAAACTACGTTTATTTGAGAGCGTTTCGCAGTAATCATTTATTAGGTACCTATTTCACATTTTTCGTATTTTTATATAACCCAATACATAATTTAGTATCTTGTACCGGCGATTCAAAAACAATACCTTTCAACATTTTTCTCTTGTCTTTTAATTTATGAATAGTAYATGGATTTTAACATTTAAACGCGATAAATATACATTATCTAGAAAATAATTAATTGCTCTATAGAGCTATAGAGCTTGTTTTTAACTTTATTATGATGGTCTAACCATTTGGCCACGGTGTCTAATGAATTATATACGTTTGTATTATACTCGTATCCTCACGTATAATGTTACTTATTATGTGTGATTAATAAAGGAACGCAATTTTCTGTGTATAATAGGTATACGAACGTTTCAGGATTGGAGTATAACCCGGAATGACTTCCGTATTTTATTCTTAATCTTTTAATGCGCCAAAAGTATATRCTAGACAGTGAACAGACATTAAAATAAACTTGGTTCTCACATCCAAGATGGATCAGCTCAACACTTTCGATAATCTTCAGGTAATCTCTTTTTCAATTTAACTACCATTTCGTTCAGATTTTTTTCCCCATCACCGGCTACAAAATGGAAACAACTGGAGAGGAAGAAGAAACGTGAACAAAAAACTAAAAAGGGTCGCATTAATAGCTTCCAAATGCCCACTTGTTCTTATCCATTCTCACCGCTAATCTCTCGTTGTCCTTACATGCATTTCCCTACTCTCTTACCTCCGCAGGCCGATTCGATCGATCTGGAGCTTGATTTCCCGCAGGGTTTCAGCACATTTGTGTACGTTTCTGCCTCTTTATCTTTTCGCATTCCGACCGTTCCGTCTGTGATTTTTAAAAGCTGTTTTCTTAAACACCCGATTGTTGGCCCAGGACGGGAGCCCTGCAGCTTGCAGGACAAATTGGATGACGTTTTATGTCTGAAACCTTTTTGTTGCAATATTTACCAGTCGCCAACGAAATGCAGCACGCAATATTGTTTTCATTGTTGTATTTTTATCAACTTTCTCCTCTCCAGACACCATATTTACTTATTATATATATATATTTTTTTTTCATAGTCGCATAATGTCGCACTTGAATTAGATTGATATAGTTCCAGAGATTAAAGAAATTTGAATATTTTAGATTTGAATAGCCTCACTCAATTGCATATATGCATCGTAGGGTATTATTTTTTTATTCATTTGACATAGAACATTTCTTTTATTATTTTTTTACACTTATATTATAATAAATATTATTACCAATATTTTCTCAGAGAAATTTTTACATGAGTAAATTTTCTCATCATACTATTCCTTTTGACTAAACCCGCAGTACAAATCATGCATCATCTTTGTGCATGTAAAGGTAAACTGATATTATATGTATACCTACACCGTATRTAGGAAACGATTGAATACAAAATCACATGCATCATTTTTACGATATAGAAATGCATTTTTATTAAAAATCACACCCAAGTAACATTTACTCCCTCCTCCCACGAACCGTTACATGTTATTATTTTTTTGCTCACTGCAACCTTAAAACGTTGTATTTACAGCAATATTTTTTAAGGCCCCATAGGATGAATCAGAAAAAAACATCGACAAGTAAATAATAATATACTTTATAAAAACCATAACATTTTTAATTTATTAAGATACATTATTTTTAACTTTTACTTTCTCACTTTTTTTTTCATTTTTTTTTCGCTACCGGAAGTAGGAAGTAATGTTTATCATATTATCGTTTATCACGTCCAAAGTCTCGGTGGCATAGTGCAACTTACGTTTTTCCGGTCAGAAACATCTGATTAAATTCATCCGTTGGCAGTAACGACGGCAGCTATGGTGGTAATCAAGTTGGTTAAATAAATATTTGGGTTGAAAAGGGTATAAAACACTGTTGGTGCATATATATACGTGAATGCACGCGCACACACTCACACAAACAATTCGTGTCGACGAGATGGGCAAACAATAACCTATAATAACACATTCATACACACATATATATATTTATGTATATGTATATTGTATATTATATGTATATATGGATAGAAAAAAAAAGAAAAAATTCGCGAGAGACCTGTTTGTCGATTGGCATGGCAACCGTGTGATAAGGAAGGATTTTGTTTACTTAGATCCGGGGTTGTAGTATTAGYTCCCAACGAAAAACGTCAGAGAACATATGATAGATTCGGGTTGAACATATTATTATTATATTACCTGCGCGCGTTTAAGAATACCGGGCACGTCGAATTGTTCGGAATTACATTTTCACACATCCGAAATGATGAATTCGCGAGATTGAAAYGAAATCTACGAGTACCTATCCGCCCTCAAAACAGCATTAAGATGAGTGTGTTCGTCCATTTTTTCCATTCATATTTTTATCGAAATCGAGAAACGTCCGGGCGGGAAAAGAATTCCGAAAATCTAGATATTTCATCCTGCAGTATTTCCACCATCGTTGTGGTTCGATTATTATCGCGGTTACTATATATCATTATTATTTGAATAATTACGCGCTATAAACACGTGCACCAGCGTTATATACCTTAATCAAATTTTGTTAAATCTAATTATTGCATTTCACAGGGTACATAATGAATTCGCGRCGGAATATCGTGCTGAAATGTTCGACAAACTTTGCGCGCCAACGTAAACGCGACGGCAGGCAATGTGTCAGGAATGTCAAGTACGCACACAATTTACGACCAAATTAATTGTTTGGCCGTGTGTGTAAGTACGGCAGATCCAGAGAACGTTATGACAACAATTTGGCCTTGTGTACGCTCTCTGCAGCGCGCCAGAGTTATTATCATAAACGTTAATAAAATATAAGTAATAAACGGCGCATTGAACTGTAAAACATAATAACTATGGATTTTGATGAAATCAAATTCGAAACCAAAATGCGAGGGACGTTTCTCTGAAACATAATCGAGACTTTYACCGATCTCATTAATAAGTTTTATGTGGAATTGGAGTCAAAACGTATGTCGATGATTTGCAATAAAGTTTACGAATAACGTCTGCCAAAAATTATTTCATTTTAAGTCCCTAAAATTCGCAATACTGTGATTTTAAAACTCCGGTAAAAAACTGTGACAGACACAATCGCGACGATAATGAGAACAATAGGCATCTGAAAAATAATATATTATACTCGTATGGTTAGGTTGTGTACGGGACATACGGGATGATATTAAATAAAATTCACACCGTAGCACACGTCATGTCACGATGTATTGTATTAGTCACAGTTGGTAAACTGACTTCCRATGTGTATTTCTTCTGCTGTTTTCCCCTTTTTCACGAGACCATTGATGCATATCTACGGGGGTATGACGATAATATGTAACCCGCTTTGTCAGCGAACGGGACRAACGTTACAGGATTTGACTCGACGTATATAGACACGGTGAAAAGGAACAACTGAATATTCTTCTTCAATTCATCCGTCAGGAAATTGGAAAACACAATACGAATAGAGCAATAAAACAGCTCCGCTGCCAATTCCCAAATGGAATAATATTATATTATATACCATCACAAGTCCAAGTGCACATAACCAGCAGCGTACACGCATCCATATTATATATATATATATAAGGTGTTGCTCTGACGGTATGGCAAAACCACTCTAATAACAACCAATTTTCCGTGACATTTTCGTGGGAATTTCGGTTGGATGGGAATTTAAAACGATTTCGATAAAATTAAGGCATTAACGTAGCAGTCTGATAAGATTACAAGTTTTCACGTCAAATCAACGTGTTATCCTATTAAAATTCAAGACCGTAACACAAAAGTTTCAACGGTTAACACTTCGGGTCTACCGTACACTCGTGAACCACGAAAACTCTCTCTTATAACACTAATATTGAAAATGAATTAATAATTTTTTTAATACGTTTTGTTATAATATTAGCGAATAAACCGTCATTGATTCAATATTAAAAAGGGTGAAATTAGGTAATCGCACTGCAGTACCTATATTAATGGTCGAGTGTACCTCGTGTAGAATTTTATAATACCTAGATAGATCTAAGATGTATCAAATGTTAATCCAATCATAAAATATCATTGTGAATAAATAGAGAAGACTGTATACATTTTTGGTGACCAAAGTGACCGATTAATTATTATTTATTTTAGTAATAATACTATTATTATTTTAACAAAAATGCATGGTGACCAAATGATAATAATATRGTATACTTCAGGAAAGGTTATTTTATATTACGATATTTAGATAAACGTTTTGCACAATGCTTAAAACAGTTGTTCAGTTTTCACGCATATATTTATAAATACTAAGCACTATGTGAATGATGTACAATGTACATATATATTATATTATATTTTGTAAATATAAATTCAAAAATTTAAATGCGAGCAAAATGGAAAACCCTCGACATTGTTTAGTATAATATGTTATATGTTTGTGTTATTTTTGCACAAAAGGGGATAATAGACATTATTTATATTTTCTCATAACTATTTAAATAGCAACCGACAAACAAGGGAAGTGTTTATTCACATAATGAAATTACCAAACAAACATTAAATTTGAAAATCAATCGACCAATTATTTTTCGGAACCTTCGAACACTCCGACACGTGTATCTACCACCACATCTACCAATGTCACCATCGTCCTCTCT